CTGTCTGTTGACATATCAAAATATTCATGTCTGTCTGTTGACACATCAAAATAATCATTTCTGTCTGTCGACATATCAAAATATTCATATCTGTCTGTTAACATATCAAAATATTCATATCTGTTTGTTGACATATCAAAATATTCATATCTGTCTGTTGACATATCAAAATATTCATATCTGTCTGTTGACATATCAAAATATTCATATCTGTCGACATATCAAAATATTCATATCTGTCTGTTGACATATCAAAATATTCATGTCTGTCTGTTGACATATCAAAATATTCATATATGTCTGTTGACATATCAAAATATTCAAATCTGTCTGTTGACATATCAAAATATTCAAATCTGTCTGTTGACATATCAAAATATTCATGTCTGTCTGTTGACACATCAAAATATTCATATCTGTCTGTTGACACATCAAAATATTCATATGTCTGTTGACATATCAAAATATTCATATCTGTCTGTTGACGTATCAAAATATTCATATCTGTCTGTCTGTTGACACATCAAAATATTCATATCTGTCTGTTGACATATCAAAATATTCATATCTGTCTGTTGACATATCAAAATAATCATATCTGTCTGTCAACATATCAAAATATTCATATCTGTCTGTTAACATATCAAAATGTCCAACATACCTATAATTGGATGTACATTTCTATGGGTTGGACACACACATGGCTGTGTATTGTGATTCCTAATGCACGGCAAACACAAAACTCTACAATCACAGCTTAACAGAGAAATACGAGCTGAAAAGAAGTCATTGAATGATTGGTAGTCATGATATGACACAGTCCTTGTAAGTTTTTATTGTTAGTTTATAAGATGTGTATGAACCCATGTCCATGAGATGTTTTTACAAGATGAATGAAATTAACGACAGAGAAGGAACAATAAAATCTTCCAGGTTATGTAGTAACAAATGAATACATGTGCATATGTGTGATTTGATCTGGTTCCAGAATGGCGAGGTATGTATGGGGGTCTAAAAACTAACTCTGCGACGTGATTGTGCGACTCGCCGAATGTCGATTATTGCACTGTGCGACAGAATCGCAGTGTCACTCTGCGAAGAGCACGATTCCCATTGGTTGGTTGGTCGAAAAGCGCGAATCTCAATGGTCGATCAATGTAAGGGTACACAGCATGCCTTATAGAAATGTTCAGTTTTAAATGGTTATTTCGTCGACTGCTCGCGAACTACGGTAAACAAGTATTTACCGACGACATGCCGCATGGTTCGGTAATCAGCAAGTATTTAACATTGATTTATTAACATATAGAACATCCCTCGGAGTACGTTTTACACGATGTTACGTTCTTTTTTTGTCATTAGTAAGTATAATTTGTTATGACTACATTCATCACTTTTAATTCCCAAATAAAGCGTGTAGCGGGTCAAACTGTTTTTAGGCAATCAATATTCGTTTTATTAAGAATATTAAGAGAGAAAAAAATGTAAAGCTGTGTGAATGGATTAAAACTACTGCTGAAGATAGAAAACTAAAACGGCAGTGTCAACGGAAAATTAGATGGGTGCACGCTCGCTGCATAAACAGAAACGATGGCTTTGTTAGTCCCCGTTCGGACGTAGTCCGAAAACGGGGACTTTGTTTTGCCCTGTGTGCGTGCGTGCGTGCGGCTCCGTGATCACCTGTATCTCGAACATGCATGGACCGATTAAGTTCAAACTTCACTCATACATCACACATATGGGTCATATGCACATGCATTTTTTTCATGATCCGATTAACGATAGCCGAATAGCGGCCATTTTAAGGCCGAAAATGCATTGAAATCGCACATTTTCACCATTCCGAACCCGGATCTCAGTTATGCATGGACGGATTTTGTTCAAATTTGGTACATACATTAAACATAATAGGACCTTAATGCACGTCATTTTTTTCCCGGATCAAGTTCGAAATGGCCGACTGGCGGCCATTTTGTTTTAATAAATTCAGTTCTGGATCCGTATCCAAGACATGTCTGGATTGATCAAGTTCAAACTTCACACACACATGGTACATCATCCGCTTAACAATAGCTGAATGATGGCCATTTTAAGGCCGAAAATGCATCAAAATCACGTATTTTCACAATTCCGGAACCTGATCTCAGTCATGCATGGATGGATTTTGTTCAGATTTAGAACAATGTGTTGTACATATGCAGGTGCATTTCGGTCATGATCTGCTTTGAATGTATATATGTCACTCAAATATGAACGGAACGGGGACGTGTCATTGACAATGACTTGTTTATTTGGCCGCTGTCGACGAGCAACAGATTTCCTGTACTCACTTCCTCGTCTGATCACCGGCCCTCAACGGTCTCACGTATCGGTGTCGTCATCGGTTAAGTAGTTCATGGAGGTAAAACCCATGAGTAGTTGAAACTCTTTCGCGTTGATGCGAATATTTCAGCCTAATCGTCCCTTTCAAACCACTCGCCAGGTTGGTCATAATATGACCTAGACGTGCTTGCAATCTGTTGCGAGTCCGATGAAAAATTCTTGAAAAATAAATATAAATTGCGTAAACGAGGGGTGAACGCGAAAGTCCTGTAATTTTTCATCAGAATCACAACAGGCTGCAGGCAAGTCTAAACTATTTAGTAAATATGACCCTGAGTTGCAGATTTTTTTTTGCCTCATCTGTAATTGGCGTTTTTGCTTTCTTTCTTTTCATTGTCATTGCGTTAGTAAGATGGTGTTATTAAAATAGAATATAGACTTAGAAAATAAAACGATTTCTCGGACAAAGTCTTGACTGATAATAATGATGACAATGGACGTTAGATTAATATGCATTGTTTGCGACAGGAAGCTTGTCACCCGTTCTATCAGAATCGCCAACAACAGAGTATTACCGGTAGTATACATATACATGTTATAAACATTATGCAAATACTAACGAAACGGTAGTAGTGTTAGCGTGTGAGCACTGGTCTTTCCGAAATTTCGAAAAGCTGGGATGATGAATCAAGGTACAAAGTAACCGTTTTATCAATTATTGGAAAATCAAGAAGAAAAAAAGAAAATTTCCCGTACCGCTACATTAAGATCAATATGGACCACCGAAATTTGGCGTTCATTTAAAAAAAATAATAACATTCATACCACAAACCAACGCCGTTTGTGTTTACTTTTCACAACTGTTAGTGTTACAAAGTATTTCATTTCTGGTGGTTAAAATACCAGCTAATTGATCGTGGACCACAAGTTTTGAGTCCGTCAATGATCTAAACGAAGGCAGACGATTGCAAACAACTGCTGTCATGGCAAAACGTAGCACATCGTGAATGATTTTTGTTTCACTGCATGCAAATTATTTTCCTTGATGCAGACGTACAACATTCGTTGCAGAACGTGTGAAAAGTACTTCATACAAAAGTACATTTTTACCATTTAAAACTTATTTTTTTTATAAGGCATGCGGTGAACATCGACCATTGAGATTCGCACTGTTCGATCAATCAACTAATAGGAAGCGTGCTTTTCGCAGAGTGACACTGCAATCCTGTCGCAGAGTGCAATAATCGACATTCGGCGAGTCGCACAATCGCGTAGCAGAGTTAGTTTTTAGACCCCTATACATACATGGAATGGCAGAATGTTTGCATTTCTAGTACATAAACAACTAGCAGTCAGCCATCTTGAATACATGTGTATATGTGTGATTTGATCTGGTTCCAGAGTGGCGGAATGTTTGCATTTCTAGTATATAAACGCCTAGCAGTCAGCCATCTTGAATACATGTGCATATGTGTGATTTGATCTGGTTCCAGAGTGGCGGAATGTTTGCATTTCTAGTACATAAACACCTAGCAGTCAGCCATCTTGAATACATGTGTATATGTGTGATTTGATCTGGTTCGAGAATGGCAGAATGTTTGCATTTCTAGTACATAAACGGCTAGCAGTCAGCCATCTTGAATACATGTGCATATGTGTGATTTGATCTGGTTCCAGAATGGCAGAATGTTTGCATTTCTAGTACATAAACGCCTAGCAGTCAGCCATCTTGAATACATGTGCATATGTGTGATTTGATCTGGTTCCAGAATGGCAGAATGTTTGCATTTCTAGTACATAAACACCTAGCAGTCAGCCATCTTGAATACATGTGCATATGTGTGATTTGATCTGGTTCCAGAAGTGGCAGAATGTTTGCATTTCTAGTACATAAACGCCTAGCAGTCAGCCATCTTGAATACATGTGTATATGTATTCCATGTAATCATTAAAGGCACATCAGGCATAAATATCATTCATGAAAAACAAAATAGCTACCAGTCTGCCATTCTGAATGAGATGTGTCAAACAAAATAAAGTACAATAAGGTCCCATGATGTGCTCTGTATAACAGGTTGAAGTATTAAGGTCTAAGCAAAATTTCCACCATTTTATGTTTATCAAGGAGCAAATAACAAAATGGTTTGTACAGGTATATAAGCTGTTAGTCTGTTAAAGTGAGTCCAAATAAAACAATATAAATTAATGACATGAAACATGCTGCTTTATAAAGTTTTGTACATGTATATGGTACATTTATAATGTTTACTTTCAGTATAATTACTTGAGGACCAATGAGATGTAAAACTGATAAGCTCCTCTCATCCACCATTACAGTGTTATGATGACATAAGTTACAAAAGTTGTATTATCTGTTAAATTATCTGTCTTTCAAGGGTGGTGCTTGTCGCGCCATGTCATGGTCGATATGGGACGCATAGGGACGTATATAACATGTGTAAAATACATTGCTTGTTTACAAAGGCAATTCAGGAATGCTCTGTGCAACAACCACTGCCCTTTAACATATGGTCAAAGAATCAGGTATGATTCTTTAAACTCATCACCGGTATTCAGCATATTAATACTTACAGACTGGGTTAGATGAACACATGAAACATATCCCATCTATTATAGGCTTGGTAGAACCATGTGTTGGACACATCAATTCATTCCTAGTATAGTTAGTGATACAGTCTGCACAAAATATTTGACACCCACAGCCGACTGGATTGAATGCTGTAAGTATATGACAAACGTCACTATTTTGGATGTATTATCTGTCAGTGAGCAGCTTAATATGCGTGATGTCATGTATATTTCCATGCAGAGAACAAGCTTATAAACTTACAACGAGGATGCATTAAACACATACAACACTTGTTATCTTCCGATGGAGTGACAATTTGGATGTGATTCTCTGCAGCTAAATTCTAAAGACAAGATATAAATAATACATGTAAGAGATAATCACACATATTTAATCCTTCATGTTTGCAAAGGGATTATGGGATTACAACAGTTGTGTTCCTGTGCATTTGGACCTTAGTAACTTAGGACCAACCGGTCCGGTACCAAAATCTGTTGACCCAAACATGCTAGATAATACATGTGTATTTGTCACTATGGTATTCATTATTTTTCACAAATGTAGTTGAAACAATATAAGACGGCTGAACAATAATTATGTCTGATTATAATGTTTATTAGGGAGCTGGTATTCAAGCCATCACAAAAATAGAACACAAATCGCTATTCATGTAAATGTCATTAAAACACAAAACAAATTGAAATAAATATGTTGGCTATTTTGAACCAAATAATGAAATGCATAGAAGTACTTTAAAATGAATGATGTATACGTGAATTTTGAATGTGATTGGTTGAGGCATGTCCAAAATACTATCAGTTCATTAACCAAATCTACTATTTATATGATCTATCTGTATATAGTTATTATCAGAAAATTGGCTGGTTTCTACAAAGTGACACATACTTCTAACTTTTCGCATATATCTGCAATTTTCGGCCTCTTGAGTCTCCTGGTGTTTAATAGACAGGACAGAATAAGTTTTGAGAACTCCAATGTCACCTTATTATTCTCATCAGATGCTGGCCATTCCTAATAAGATAAAGAATTTATTTACTATAATTGTTAAGTTAAGGTTATTCATATGTAAGTGAGTTAAGGTCATTCACATGTTAGTTAAGATCATTCGCATGTTAGTTAAGGTCATTCATATGTAATCGAGTTAAGGTCATTCACATGTTAGTTAAGGTCATTCATATGTATGTGAGTTAAAGTCATTCACATGTAAGTGAGTTAAGGTCATTCATATGTAAGTGAGTTATGGTCATTCATATGTATGCAAGTTAAGGTCATTCATATGTGAGTGAGTTAAGGTCATTCATATGTATGTGAGTTAAGGTCATTCATATGTAAGTGAGTTAATGTCATTCACATGTTGAGGTCATTCATATGTATGCGAGTTAAGGTCATTCACATGTAAGTGGGTTTCGATCATTCACATGTAAGTGAGTTAAGGTCATTCATATGTAAGTGAGTTAATGTCAGTCATATGTGAGTGAGTAAAAATCATTCATATGTAAGTGAGTTAAGGTCATTCATATGTAAGTGAGTTAAGGTCATTCACATGTAAGTGAGTTAAGGTCATTCACATGAAAGTGAGTTAAGGTCATTCATGTGTAAGTGAGTTAAGGTCATTCACGTGTAAGTGAGTTAAGGTCATTCACGTGTAGGTGAGTTAAGGTTGTTCACGTGTAGGTTAGTTAAGGTCGTTCACGTGTAGGTGAGTTAAGGTTGTTCACGTGTAGGCGAGTTAAGGTTGTTCACGTGTAGGCGAGTTAAGGTCGTTCACGTGTATGCGAGTTATGGCCATTCACGTGTATGCGAGTTAAGGCCATTCACGTGTATGCGAGTTAAGGTCATTCACGTGTATGCGAGTTAAGGTCATTCATGTGTAAGTGAGTTAAGGTCATTCATATGTATCAGTCTGGTACAGAGGTTCAGTCTGGTCTGGGGAGAATATACTCATAATCACACTGCTAAGTGATCAGTCTTGTACAGAGGTTCAGTCTGGTCTGGGTAGAACATACTCATAATCACACTGCTAAGCGATCAGTCTGGTACAGAGGTTCAGTCTGGTCTGGGTAGAACACACTCATAATCATACTGCTAAGTGATCAGTCTAGTACAGAGGTTTAGTCTGGTCTGGGTAGAACACACACATAATCACACTGCTAAGTGATCAGTCTAGTACAGAGGTTCAGTCTGGTCTGGGCAGAACATACTCATAATCACACTGCTAAGTGATCAGTCTGGTACAGAGGTTCAGCCTGGTCTAGGTAGAACACACTCATAATCATACTGCTAAGTGATCAGTCTAGTACAGAAGTTCAGTCAGGTCTGGGTAGAACACACACATAATCACACTGCTAAGTGATCAGTCTAGTACAGAGGTTCAGTCTGGTCTGGGTAGAACACACACATAATCACACTGCTGAGTGATCAGTCTAGTACAGAGGTTCAGTCTGGTCTGGGTAGAACACACACATAATCTCATTGCCAAGTGATCAGTCTAGTACAGAGGTTCAGTTGTTTACACTTTCCACAGTACCAATATTAGCAGATGAATTGCAGTGCATATATATATACTTACTTTGTCAGCATACTTGCATAAATCATTTGCATCTTCACATTCATCCTCCCAAATTGTGTGAAAAAACTCTCCATTTTCGGAATCAAATTCCTCTGCCAGTGTACTCGTGAGTAATTCCATTAACACTGCAAATAATCACAAAGTAAGCTGATCAATATGCAACAAGCATTTTACAAAGTCCTGTTGGTTACTGAATCTTAAAGACCATTAGCATATGAATTCTGTTGTGTGTTATAAAGTAAGTAATAAGAGTTTTGGTGCTTGATATAGAGCAGAGTGAAACCCAGTATGTCATGGTATTTTTCACTATAGAGACACATGTAAGATGCATGTGATAATGAATGACATCATGTTTATAAGCAGAAAAACAACATAGCACAAATTAGTAGCATAGTTCCTATTCATATAATCATTTTGATTCATAAAATGACTAAAGCACATTAATTACTTTTGTTCAATCTCAAAATAACATAGCTATTTTAAAGCTTCAAGAATAGCACATACGGACAAATCATTCAACGTTGCAGTAATTGAGTGACCTGATACATGGATCGAGTCAGCCATCTTGAGTAAGCTTTACAAATCAAAGTGACATGCATCAATGTCAGTAATGGTTACTCTTTCCACCAAGTTTGATTTTATAGTTTTTGTTTTTAGAACAATCAGCAGTCAGCCTTCTTTTATCAAGAAAGAATATTATTTTATGTGTGCCATGATAGACAATCTAGGTATAAAGTTTGAAGTGAATCGCTCAAAGCATTTATGAGTTATAAGTCTAAAATAGAATTTGTCAAAAACAAAATGATCGGGGATAATAAGGTATTAAGTATGTGTGTGGTTTGAAGAGAATTGGCCAAGACGTGTCCAAGCTACAGATCCGAATAAATAGATTCACACACAGGGACTAAACTTCTGAACTTAATCCAAACAGGGACTTTAATAAATCACAATAAACTAGGGATATCCCAAATTTTTGAATTTCCATTTTCAAAGTGGCAGTTACAAGCATTTTCAATTTCTTTCTTGATGAGTTAAAAATACCTTTTCCGAGACTATATGTGTCACAAGCCTCATCATAGTAACCATCGGGTTTTCGAACCAAATCAGGATCTTGATAGCCTTTAGTACCACACAGAGATCTTTGATCTCCTGGAGAGGAAGTATAATTATAGGAAGGAAACATTCTATGAGATTGCATACACTAAAAAGTAATGAAAGAAGACAATAAAGTTGAGTTAAGAAAGAATTGTTTGTTTGCATCAGCAATTGTCCTAAATGTATTTAAAAATGATAAACTATTTTAACATCTTTGGTTGAAACATTTAGTTTGCAGTGTAGTAACCTTGTTAATTTTAACTGCCTTCACAATGTAAAAATCAAAGACAGTTTAGGAAAATGTGTAGTATTTATTTGTTCATCAAATTATAATGTCTAACAATATCTGAATTTTATTTTTTATTACTACTAATATTTTATATTTTTTTGCTTACTTATTGTTTTATTTGTTATTGATGTTTATTGTTTTGTTTTTTTGTATGTTTATTGACCATAGATAATGTAATTCAATGCATTATTTCGTGCCAAATAAAATATACTATACTATACTATGTGTGCTTGGTATACAGGAAAGTATAAGAGGCATATTTAAAATTAAATCAAAATGAAGATTAGCCTTTCAAACAAAAAGCTTGACAACTAATATTGGTCTTTTATGTACAGTGTACTCACAGAAAAAAAAATTGATTTAAAATCTGTGGTTTTCAGTCTAATTTATTCAATTTAAATGTGATTTTTTTTTGAGATATCAGAAATTGGCTAATAAAAATTAGACAGTCATTATGCATGGTTTTTAACATTAAACTAATCACAACGATGGATTACCCTAGACATTCTTGTACCAAATCTCAATGAAATCTAATGATTATGCATATTAGTATATTAGTATGCTAGAATTTCAATCCAAAACTAATCAGGTCTTTAGCATTGTCCTCAAGCACACATATATACTATTGAAATACAATAATTAGTTTTTGACATACAAGTGGAAATTGTTAATTATGATGCAAATTGGTCAACTAATATGCAAAAATTTCAACCTAAACTAAATGCATCTGTGCATGTAAAACCACACCTGTCATTGACAGAACAATGTAACATCATACCTGTCATTGATATGTAACAATGTAACATATCTGTCATTGATATGTAACAATGTAACATCATACCTGTCATTGATATGTAACAATGTAGCATCATACGTGTCATTGATATGTAATAATGTAACATCATACCTGTCATTGATATGTAACAATGTAGCATCATACCTGTCATTGATATGTAACATCATACCTGTCATTG